GAAAAGAGCACGAAGAAAACAGGAAATTAAAGATTCAACACTCATATGACCTTATTACACACAAACACACACGTATACACAGGTGTTTACATATATATATATATATATATATATATATATATATATATATATATATATTCCCGGTGATGATTTAAGCATTGAAGGCTGATCGAATAAAAAGGACATATGTAAACAAATTTTAAACTCATTTTCCCACTTCGTTTTTGTTTTAATTTGGGAGTTTAATTGGGTACCTTATTGTTTAAAGGATAATTTATTTCACTTGATAGATTACTGGTTAAAAAGTTTTTAAAATAACTATTTCATGAAGTAATTAAGCTTAAGTCAAACTTATCAAAAGGCAACTAGAATTCAGTTTACACCCTTCGGTAGTTCTTGTGTCACTTTACTCGTGAATAAATATGAATAAATTGAAACTTTCATAATAAATCCTTGGTCTCAATGTAGACTTGACCATGAACCAATGTCAGACAAGGAATCCTTGAAAATAAAAGAGCACAGGATAGATATTTCATACTAGTTTGGAATTTTTCATCAATGCACATGCATAACCCAATGAAGAATCGGACCTTGGATCTTCAAGTTATGAGGCCAGGTAGTTGAGGAAACATGCACTTATACTGAGATTCGATGACCTTTGAATCCTAAATTCTGATACGGCGGCACCACCAGCAAACGCTGCCACTAAGTATTCACTTCACCCTGATATGAATGGTAAAATAACTTGACCTTTTACCCGAAAGATCTGGCTTTGGCGCCAATTGAAGTCGTCAGTGGGCACTGTTGAAGAATCTCAAATTAGGACAAAACACCTGCCCAGTACTTTCTGGTTTTCAATGCTTCTCTAAATGATGTGATTTCGTGAGAAATTCATAGTGAAATTAATCTGAATCTCTAAAGAACTCATGATCTGCAAGTAATCATTAGTCCGTATTAACTTGATATGTACTTCTGCAAAACAGGGAGTATAGGACAGGTATCTCCGCCTTTTAGGCAAGGCCCACCTACGACTCCGTCGGAGATCGACTCAGAACCCTGAAGTTATCAGTCTATGAATGATATCATAGTTTGATTCTTTTTTGGATTTATATTAGCCTTGAAACATATTCACAATGTCATTCTAAGCATTGCCCAGGAGAAACTCATTCACGTCAAGCAACATTAGGAATATCAGAAATTAAGTGCTTTAATAATAAAAACATAGAACACTTTAATATTACCAATGGGAGGATATGTGAAAATAATAATAATATCTGAAGATTTTCTTCAGATAAATAGATTCTTAGAGTTGAGATTTAAATTTTCGTGAAAACCGAGTTGTAGTTATACCTAGCTTATTAATGGGATTTAGGAGGAAACATAGTTAAAATGCTTACAACATTACATTGCAATAAATGTCACTTATATTGCCTGGGTCGAAATTATAGATGCATTCAACTGAGAAATGTTTAGGAATTACCTCTATCTCTACAGATGCGTGTATGAAAATCACTTGGTCAGACATTTAATCTAAGTATAGAAGCTTGTGAAAATGCGCCAAAATCATAATATATGGTATAAGAAATTATTGATATGCAATAGTGAACACAGTCACAAGTTAATTGTTAACTTACGGTAACTAATATCGATGAGTTATAATTGATAGGTGTCAGTTAGGTTTACTCAACCTACCTATTTCTACCTTTTGAGAAAAATTTTTGAAAATATGACAAAATCAGTATAAATAAAAATTGCTGAAAACATTATCAGAATCCTAATCGGAAAAATACAACTTCAGGGTCACTTTTAAAAATACATTCTTATATCTTTCTAAAACAATTTTGCACTCTAGTATAGAAATCTAAGTCACCTCGAGTTTAGTCAAGGATCGTTATCAGTTAAACAACCGCTAGAAACCAGGCAGTACTGGACACCTGTTTCGTCGTATTTTCGGACTTCCGGATTTTGAACCCAGGACATTCCTCCTGCAAGGCAAGCTCATTGGACTATATGCTTTTTCTTCTTTTGCGTTCCCAGTGGAACATAGGGCTTCCACCTTGAAGCTTGAAGTTTTAGTGTCAGTGGTGATTATTTATTTCACGGAATGGGATTGCTAGTCTCATGCCCATCCTTCCCTCTTTACCAGTCTTAATACTGGCTTAGGGAGGTAAAGGAGTGAGTCGGCCAGAGATTGAACCCCGTACCACCTGAATGGTCGGTGAGGACTCTACCATTGTGCCATCGACGCCCAGATGGTTCTCCAACAGTTATCAGCCCCTGGTCAAACTCGAGACAAATCAGATACCCACAAAACATCCCACAAAACTCATAAATGTGAATATGACTGTTCCGTGACTAAATGTAACTGTTTCCTGCAGCTCAAGATAGACTCAAAGTTAATATCCACGTTTCCCATGAATTACTCGTCTGTCAACGATAAATTACAACTATTGGATACCAACGGTAAACAACCGTTCTGACTGATTTACAATAAGTATACTTGTAAATCGACAGGTCTGAGAATACTTAGCTACTAATATATGCCACCTAATAAAATACACGAATACAAGACAAGTAAACTTAAGTTTCCTTGCAAAATGCAAAAAGAGGATAAAAATCACTCTCCCCAAATATTTACATAAGAATTATAGATAGAAATATTACTCAAGTTACTTTGTATCTCCCATTGATAAATTTATATTAGACCTAATTTTCCCCCTCCCCTGCATTCTGAGAGAAACACACGGCTTCAAGCTCTGAAGCTTCGGTGATTGGAATGTTATTTTAACTGGGTTGGTTGCTGGTCTCACACCTGCCTTTTACCCTTTTCCCGGCTTACTTCCAGCTGGGCAAGGGTTAAGACTGTGTCTGCTATCTTATGGCTGTCTATTATCCTACCATAAATGCGGACGAAGATTTCATCTAAAAATTTATATATTCATTGTTTTAATTTAAAAGTGTATGCAATCATTAAAAAGGTCTAATGTTTCAGGTTTAAGTGACCTGTGTAGAGACAAAATGTTTCAAAAAAAAACTATTAATGAAACTTCTTTCAGATAACTTCTAGTTTGCCTAGGAGAGGTGTTAAGAACACTGCTGCTACTCAGGTTTGCCTTTTCTGGGTTCAGTCATCTCCTCATTATATTATTGTCATTATGATAAGCTGAAGATATCTCAGGTAGTCTTAATAATAACCTATCACTTATCTCCCCCTCATAATCACTGGGAAAATGAGTTGAGGAGAGCTTCTTTATTAACCGGTTTGATAATCATGAGTGATTTAAGTGTAGATTTTGTCACGAACCGACATCATCTAGGGAATCATTGCAAATCAGGGAGTATAGGACAGCTGTCTCCACCTCTTAAACAAGGTGCACCCACGACTTCGTCAGGGGTCGAACTCAGGACCTCCAAGTTATCAGGCTAATCATTTAACCAATCAGTCATCTGCACCGGAACTCAGTAACCTACGCGTTTCAGTCTTGTCATTCAGCAACATAGAGTCAATGGTAATCATTACCATCCCAAGATGGTGATGGACGACACTGGCCACAACTTTTCTTTACAACTTCGGGACATTCACAAGCACCTGCGAACCAGCTAGAGATCAGTATGTAGATTATGGTTTTTGTAAATTTTGTTGCCAGCACTATAAATATCAGTAATTCTCCAAGTAATGTTAGTTCATGAGGCAAACGATGAATGAATTGGTATGTATCTCTTTGTTTGCACCATAGGCGAGCTGATTTCTTGACCTAGTCCATAGGTAAATCCTGTAATATATTCCGCTGGCTATCGTTTGAAATCCTGTCGCTATCCAGGATTTCTATGCAGTACTTCTTTACATGCTAAATTAAGTTACTTTTGAGAATTTTACAAGTATTAGTTTAACTTCTTCGCTGTGTAGTATGAAATGTTTCATTATGTAGTAAAAATGCATAATACACATGAAATTTAAGTGTTATCGTTTCCGTTTTATTTGTAATTCTTCCCATCAATGAATATTTCTGCAGGAAACGCAGGTTAGCCACATGCTATTTATTCCTGATGTTACCGACTAAACATGATATATTTGAGTATAAAATTTGGATTTACACATAGTACCATTTATACTGTCCACAAGAATTTGGTCTACCAGAGCAATTTTCGAAGTGAAGCTTTCGAATTCACTGACTTTAGGTTCTGCAGTTTTAGAGGTGAAGCATTTCACTAGAAACTATACTGAAACTACACTGCTTCCTTTCTGTTTCAGAATAATAAGGTTGAATAAATTGCTATCACAGATTGTGGTTAGACCATGTGAAGTTTGTTTTATATGTCATAAGTTTTGCTTCGACAACAATTTATAAGAACTTCGTAGTTGATGGATATTTTAAGATAATTGAAATTTAGTGCAGAAATTGTGAGTTGACGGTATTCGACAAGTTGCTGGGACATGCGAGCGTACGACTGTGAGTGAACTAGATTATCTATCTAAATAACTTATCAGCATGTTTCCTACCGTCATATTGATATGATTTTAAAGAAGGACTAACGTGTTGATAAATAATTTAGCTGCATTCGAACTAAACCTCTCCGTAGAACTATGTAAATGGTCTGGTTCGATCCCGGCCAACGTATTCGTAAACCTCGTCTAACCAACAGGAAGTCAGATGAAGAGAGAAAAGGTTGGCTGTGAGTCTACCAAATTCCTATTTTAAAAAAGCGACACTACTATTCAAACTTCAAAGCTCACTCCTGAAGACTTATGTTCCACTCTTAACTCAAAGGATTGCGAAACAGTATATCCATTTAACAGTTCACCATTTACCAAACGTAACGTATAAATACAGAGGCGATTTGTAAACAATTTCAGAGTCTTTCTATAAAATACAGTGTATAATCAACTTTTAAACGCTTAGAAGTATGCCAACTCAAAACACGTGAGGGAAATCAAGTCAAATAAAGTAATTATTCATTAGTGTACACCAATTAAGAAACAAAAAGACAATTGAAATTACCTTGAATTTGTACAATCAGCATACAGAACATCAAATTCTTGTGGGGCAATCAATTTGCATCGATTAACACCTGGTTGTATTGCACCTAACCCCCGAAGTATACGTACTTGTTCAACATTGCATACAACTGGTATAATCTCTAAACGTTTCAACTTTGTATACACTGTATGCAATCCACCAACTAAATGTTTTAAAAATAATTCAAATGCTTGTGGTAAACAGATTAAATCACGTCCATTGACAGTGAATGCTGCCAAATGTGCTCCACGATAATCTAAAAAGTGGACTTGATTATTCTCTGGTAAATTTGGCACTGGATTCGGTGTACAATAAGCTAAGGATTTTGCTGATAGCTGCTGACTTCCTCTATTTCCGCTGCTATTATTATTATTATCATTAATATTATTAATATTGTTATTATCATTAGTAGTTGTAGTAGTATTGTTACTGTTATGCTGTAAATTATGACTAATTTGTGGTAGTTTTAATGCTAAAAAATTTTCAAAATTCCATGAATCATTCGATGTAATTTTTCTAGATAAATCCATGATATTTGAGGATAGCTGGTCTTCAGGATCTACCAAATTATTGAAATGAGCTAATTTGTTTAACATGCTGTAATTGACTGTGTTCCTCCCGCCTTTTTTTTCTTTCTTGCCTTTTTTCAGGTTCAAAATTCAATGGAGAAGAAATAAAATTCAAAGGACAAGGATGAATGTTTGAAAAATAAAATCAAAACGATATGAATTAAATGGTACTAACTGGCTTGGAGATTATTGTGAAAAGTACAAACTGGATCCGGTTTTCAACAGAGACAATAAGCGATAGATAGGTAGATAGATAATGAGATAATAGAATATTAACAACACTTTCTTTGTGCGGATAATAATATATTATTCGAAATGGGAGGAATAATTAGATTTCATTTTGTACAAGAGAAAAATGAGTTCGTTTCCTTTAAACTTATAATTTTATCTGCCTTCTGTAATACTCAGGTATATCTTATACGTTTGTGTGTATATTTATATCAGAAGGTATGGCTAAAAAATCAACTCATCCAGTGTAAACGTGTGTATGTAGCAAGAAAACCTACTAGAGAAATCATTGAAAATTTTAACCAGAATTATTTAAGATTTATGTCTGTTTGTTTAGTGTTTTTTTTCCCTTCATCGCCTGTCTCCTTACCCATTTCTTTTGCATCCAATACCTGTGAGAATATTTATTGATAACACAGTTTATATCACGAATCAAGCAGTAGACAAAAAACTCTTTCCACTACAATACTAGCAATGTACTAGCAATGCTAGGTAAACTGATTCTCTTTGCTTCAAGTATACCTTTACAAATCATGAGGAAAATATTTCTTTCCTTGGACAAAGAAAGAATCAAAAAAAATAGCATGAGATTTGATGAACCGATATACCCATAGATGAGTATCTGTTCACCTCTACATAGAAATGATAATATACACACACGTGGATACATCATGTGTGTGTGTGGGTATGTATGTACTCAAGTTTCACTTCTATGCTAAGCATATGTGTATTAGTCTAATCGAAATATAAAATGAGAGAGAGAGAATTATTTTGTTTTATTATTTCTTTTCTTGTTCTTTTGTTTTTAATTTCTCTGATATTTATCCGTCTGTTTGTTTGTTTGTATGATTGCTTGGAATTATCCAATCAGTTGATTAATAGGGGAAGAAAAATTTGAAAAATCTGTCTCTTTTCATTTTGCCCCTTTCATATGCGACAAATAATTTATATATTCCGTTCTATTTCACTTGTAAATTGTTCATCATAACTATATAAATATATATATATTGGTTTTTGTAGGGATTTGTTGGATTGGTTGGAGGAGTTCATCATGAGCTGACATTAGTTAGAGAACCATTGGAAAACCTGGGAGTACTGGACAGTTGTTTCGTCCTAGTTTGCCCTACTCAGGTAGGTAGTTACCTGGGGTTTTAGTGAGAAGTCGTGACCAGTAGGGTGCAGCAGGTCTGATGTGAGGACAAATACTCGCCGAAGACATTAGCTAGGAGTCACGCTATGTCGTGATTTGCCAGAATTTAGAATTCATGGGCTAGTCATTAAATCGGGTCCCAATGGCTTAATGATCTACGAGCTCTCTTGCCTTATAACCAGAAGGCCCGGGGTTCGAACCCTGTGGTGTGGGTGAGTACTGATGAAGAGTCCCAAGCTAGGCTGACGACACAGCTCTCCCGTACTCCCAGGTTTTCCAATGGTTATCTAACCAATTCCAGCTCATGATGAAATCCTGTAAAGCAAAATATTTGCTTTCTAATATGATGTCTCAGATTACAAAGGAGCTAAGTGAGTTATGTTTTTCATTCAACGTTCTTGTTAAGAACTGTATTCTTATCAACAGCTTGGTGAGGTATCTTTTATCCAGAGTGTATGAACTACGCATCAGCTAGGTGTTTAGATGGGAATCATTGATACGATTGGGTCGATCACCCATTCAAGCTCATCAGAAAAGATCCATTAGTGAAGTGTAGAAAACTTAGCGTTTTTGTATAAAATTCAAATAAAAATTTAAAAGTATTCAAAGTGGAGAAATTATTACATTCCCTGAAATGCATTAGGTATACTAAAAGTTTGAACTTAGTTCCTTATCGGTTCTATACTGGAACGAATCAGAATACAACCAGAAAACAATACTAAGATCAAGGATAAAGAACATGATTAACCGGAAAGATATATGTTAAACTATTGTACAGTGTTAAAAATTGAACGAATAAACTTCTGTATTGAACGGTGAGTGAGATTTTACCCCACATAGTTAGTGAAAGGTGTATTGAATTAAAACACATGCCAGAAGGCATGGCGTATCTTGCCCCATACAGAAGACTAAAATTTGTGTAGAAGACTGGTTAAGTGAACGAAAATCTTCCAAGAGAAATTATTTTCAATTTACAGGGATTTACATTCTTAAGATTCAAGAAACTGATGGCTAAGGATATATTATGTTATTATTACTGTTCGCTTGGTTTCTAAATGTAACACATGGATTCAACAGTCCAACTCCACTTTGTACTTTTTTCTGCGATCCTCTTCAGCAGGTCTCACCATTACCTATAGTCCCCCATCTCCTCTTCGCATGATTTCCTCCATGTCATCCTTGGACGCACAACTCGTCGTTCTGCTCGGCTGATGGCCTGACACGTAAAATCGTTCGACGATCTCCTCAACGTATGTGTGCATAGCAAACCCTGGCCAGTAATGATTGTTCTATCTCAAATCACTTCACATATATTATTATTATATCCTTTAATTCCTGGAGGAACATAGGGCTTCAGCTGCGCATCTTCATTGCCTTCTGTTTTCTGCCAACTTTTTCATCCCGCTCCAAGTCTGCACACATACTTTCATCTCCTCTTCATATGATCTCCTCCAAGTCACTCTCACACTGACGAACAACTCGCTGCTTCCCTTTCGGGTTCCACTCGAGCAATGGCTTGTCTAGTGATGTCACTTGATGGCGTGTTTCCTCAGTGTATGGCCAGCCAAACCATCTCCATTTCTTCCTGCCTATTTGTTCCACAATCGGTTCCTGCTGTGTTGGCTCTCTCATTGCCAGAGATCCCTGTTGGTGATCTTTTCTGTCCGGCCATCTGGTCTTGAGAAGCATTGAGCGAAGACAACTGTTAATGAGGGTCTGAAGTTTGTTTGAGGTGCTCTTTATGACGAGGCGCCAAGTCTCTGATCCGTATAGTAGCACTGACTGACTTCACATTGGAGTTGAAAGTCCGGATGTTATTTTTGATGCTGAGTGCTGTTGACCTCCACACAGACTTCAGAGTAATGAAAGCTTGTCTTGCTTTTCCGATTCTTGCTTTGATGTCTTCGTCAGTTCCGCCTGTAGTTGACGACGATGCTTCCCAGGTGGGTAGTTAAAGGAGGTTGTTCCTTTCAGGTTCCTCCCATTTATGCTGGCTGATTGTTGTCTGTTGTTGTGTTCTGTGGCTGTTGGTGTTGGCCAGGAATCTTCATCACCTCTGTTTTATCTATGTTCACCTGAAGTCCTTTCTTTGATGCTTCTTCTGCCAACTTGTTGCTTTTCACTTGCATATCTTCCAGTTTGTGGGAAATCAGACATATATCATCGGCGAAATCCAGATCCTCCAAGTCTTTTGTGTCAGTCCATTTTATGCCTGTTCCATCGCTGGTTGCCGTTGTCTGTCACATTATCCATTCTACTGCAATCAGGAAAATCATTGGTGATAGTAGGCAGCCTTGTCTCACTCCCGTCCTCACTTCGAAGGCTTCTGTAAGTTTCCCGTTGTGGATTACTTGGCATGCAGCATTGTCGTATAACTGTTGGATGAGATGTATAATTGTCGATGGGACCCCGTAGTAGCGAAGTAGTTGCCAAATCACCTCTCGATCGACGCTGTCGAAGGCCTTTTCAAAGTCGATGAAGTTGAGATAGAGAGGTGACTGCCATTCCAAGCTTTGATCAATGATGATCCGTAGAGTGGCGATTTGATCAATACATGATTTGTTTCTCCTGAATCCGGCCTGTTCCGGACGAAGTTTTTCATCTAGGGCTTGTTTGATTCTCTCCAGGATGATGCGGCTTAGTATTTTGCTTGGAATGGACAGGAGCATAATTCCGCGCCAGTTTTTACATTGGCTTAAGTCTCCTTTCTTTGGTAATTTGAATGAGTATCCTTTCTTCCAATCCTCAGGTAATTTGCCCTCTTTCCACACCTTCTCCAGCAGGGGCGTCATCAAGTCTGCTGTTGTCTCTGGGTCTATTTTCAATGCTTCTGCTGGGATTCCATCTGGTCTTGCTGCTTTTCCAGCTTTTAGCATCTCGATTGCATTCAGGACTTCTGATTTCGTCGGAGGGTCAATGTTCACTAGTAGTTCTGCTTCCTTTTTTAGTATTGTTGGGCGCGTTGTAGGTGGCGGTCGATTTAGAAGTCTTTTGAAGTGTTCAGCCGAGTGTTTTCTTTGTTCCACCTCTTTGGTGATTGACTTTCCATTGTCATCCTTGACTGGCTTAATCTGTGTCGAACTTTTCCCGATAGGTGTCTAGTTGTTTGGTAGAGTGTGGCTCCTCTGCTCCTCTTCTTGCTTTTGTGTCCAGTAGGCTGTGCCTCCACTTCCTTGAGCAGCATTGAGATGAAGTCAATTTGGATTTTGGTTTGCCCATCTGGTGACACCCATGTAGCCTTGTGGATATCTTTGTGCTTGTATACACTGCCACCAATCACTAGTTCGTTGAAGGCGCAGAAGTCGGCGAAGAGTTCTGCATTTTCATTCATTTCTCCGAGAGCTTCTCCACCCATGATAAGTTCCCTTCCTGTGTCGTGTGGTCCGAGTTTGGCGTGCATGTCTCCCATTAGTATTTTAATGTCACCAGCTGGAGTATTGTCCATTGCTGCATGTAGTTGTCTGTAGAATTCTTCTTTCTTTTCGAGGTCTGCGTTGTTTGTGGGTGCATAACATTTTATAATTGACACTTTCCTTCCTTTGGAGTTGAATCTGGCGGTCGTTATCCTGGACGAGATCGCCTCCCATTGCATCAGGGCCTTTGTTGCCGTTGGTGACATCATGATAGCCACGCCCTCGGTGTGCGTGTGGTTATCTTCTGGGTGACCGGAGTAGATCACTGACTCACCCGTTGACAATTTGGTGAGTCCACTCCCATTCCATCTGCTTTCACATATTCCCAGCACTTGGATTCCGTATCTTTTCATCTCGTTTGCGATTCGGGCAGCTTTCCCAGTCTCGTGCATAGTCCGGACGTTCCATGTCTTCACACAGACTTTTTCTTTTGGTGCAAAGAGGTTCATTGTGCGGA